TATATTTAATGTAAAAGGGATTTTCATTATATTTTTACAAGTTATAATGTGTTCAGAAGAGGAGAAAGACAAATATTGCTACATCCTATATCTCAATTCCTACTCTTCTTGTTTATCTTTTCCTAGTAAACTTATTTAAACAGTACTTACTTAAACAATAAATGTAGATGGTATTTAATTGATTTGTCTGTTTTGAAATACTGTTTCTGTTTTTTATTTATTGTAATTGCTATATTTAACCTTAGGATGCTCTAACACGTGCCGTGTGCCACATTCATTCATTCATTCATTGCTTGGTGCTGTGCAGAAGACACAGGCACTGATATGAGCCCCTGGGGGAAATTCTGTGGCCTCAGTGAGAATGCAAAGCGTGTGAAACAGCAACAGAGCGATGACTCCCTGCTCCAAACTCCTGCAGAGACTCTAAAGTGCTCCAGAAACCTCTGAGAGTAACCCAGAGAGGGTTTTGTTCTTCCTGAACTTCTGTAGGAGCCCCTTCAGGATCAATTCTCATTCAAAAACCCCAAAGCAGGACCCCAATAACAAACACTGAGTGTGCACAGAGTTAATTCCCTCTTGCTGCCCACGAGCTGCTTCCTTTGGAAAAATCAATGCTTGAAACCTGGAAACAAATGATGTGCCTGCTGTTGTGGGGCACCCAATGATGCCATGACAGTTTTGGGGTTGGTTTAGATAGGAAAATATGTGATTTCTACACTGGTTAAAATGTTATCCATTCATCATTTGGGCTGGGACAATAGTCTTGAGTGTTGGTCAGTGGCCATGGTGGTATTTGTTCCAAGGTGGGACTTGATGGTTTTGGTGCTCTTTTTTAACCTTAATAATTGTATGAGTACAAAAAAGTAGTCAAAGATGATTTGAAAAAGCCTCACTGATTTCTATGTAGATGGTAACTGACAGTTCTGTTGGACTCTCTGGTAAATATATTCTCTCCACCCTTTAGGTTTGTAGCTTAATTTGTTGTACTGAATAAATAAATCCTGTGGTGTAGTAGAGCTATTTATATCTAATGGAAAGACTCACCTACTCTGTTCTTTTTCTTGCAAAAGTGGGAGTTTACAAGTGATTAAAAAAAAAATAAAAATCAATCTCTTGACCTTTTCTAATAGTTCTCAGTTGTAAAGCATGTGACTTTTGTCTTGATTTTTTTTTACCCCTTGTTCTTTGGAAAGTGGTTGTGGAGCTCTTCAGACATATGGCTGAGTAATATGTGGGCTCAGCAATGGCTTCTCTTCTTTATAGATCATCTAATAGAAAAGATTGCTTCTATTTCTGTTATTTATGATTGCAGTGCTTCACTTTGGTCTCATCCATCTGTGTCATACATGAAAGCCATCAGTAGCAGTATTTTTTAGCAGAGAGCTCTCCCCTGACCATGTATCACAACAATCTCCACATAACTTGGAATAAAGCAGGAAATTCACAGTGGAGCCTTGTAACTCTAAGTGATGTCAATATATAGATATTTATGTATGTATTATTGATAACAGCATGATTTTCTCAGTGCTGTGCTTGGACAGAACAGTGTTGAGTAGAATGAATTGCCCTCCATCATGTACCAGAAATCCCACAATCTGTATCTTCAGATTGTTTGCTCTGAGAATGCACTGAGTGCTCCTTCCCCAGTTCTTCCTTGTTTTTGTGCTGCCCATTTGGCATTTCCTGCTCTCTGGGAGGGCAGGGAGCAGCCTGGGAGATGCCACATGGCAGCAGAGAGCCAGCAGTTAGCCTGGTTTTGCAGCACAAGGCCTGTTTTGTTCTCTGCATCCCTCCCTTTGTCCCTCCCTGGGCTGCAGGGAGCCTTTGGCCACAGCAAGTCCGGAGCTGCAGAGGATGGAAGCTCCCAGCCAGGTTCTATATATACACCACACATCAAAATCCTGCTGTCAAAACATGAAAATACCTCAATAATTTTCTTTTTAATTTTAGCTGTCAGCCTCGAGATGCCACTTTGCTCTCGAGCTACTCTGCATAATGTGTGCCAGCTCACTTCAGCTCATGGTAAAGTGTAAAGGAACAAAATTCCTGGCAGCTTCTGCAAAGCAATGCAATACAACTTTCATTACATGAAGGTGGTGAACATAATGTGACTTCTTAACAGCTGCAGTAAGTGATGTGAAGCTCTTAACATCTTTTCAAAACAAGTAACAAGTGAGAAGTTATTTTTCATCTCTATTCCCCAAAAAATAAAAATAAAAAAAAAATAAGACATGTTATTTTAAGCAGATGATACTTTGTTTGCACTTAGCTGAACAGAGTAAATTTCAGTTCTCCAGATCTGTGTTGTTCTGTGAAATAAAGAAAACACTAAAAACAAATGCTAAATACACTCCAATGGCTGGGTTTCAACATGAAAATTTGGATGTTAAATTTCCTGTACAGAAATGATGGCTGTCAGATGGATTTCAGCTGACACTTGTTCTTTTCCCATTGGATTTATAATGCCATGAGAGTTGCTTGTTGCATTGTTTATTTCTGTGTTTGGTTCTCATTTGAGTGTTCTCAAAAAGCCACACAGGTCTGATGATTTTGGGTCACCTGTTAAGGAGCCAGGCTCTTTGCAGATAAGTGACCCTTTACAAAGGGAAATACAGGAAAAAGAATCAAGGCTGTCTATGTTGAGTAGCCCACATCAGGCAATCTTTCATTAGGCTGGACACAAATTCAGTTTTGAGAGTTCAGTATCCAAAGCTGAAGTAACATCAAAGCTTTAGCACAGTTTTGAGGTGTAGCCCCAAGTCCAAAAGGACAAATCCTCTGTGGTTTGCTTACTCTGGCAGCTGAATCCTTTCCATTGCAGTGTGATGAGCATCGTTTCCAGGGGAGTTCACAGCTAAAGTTCACAGGCTGGAGCAAACAGTGGCGCTCCTCTTCCCACATCTTTATCTTGACGCTTCAATCATATTAAAAACAAGGTTGACATTGTCTCTGGTTGAATGAATTCCTTCACACGCTCTGAGAGGCTGTCAGCTCCCAGATAGGACGTGACTGTGGTGGTTCAGAAATTCTGCCCAAAATAGATGCCCAGATAATGCAGTTTTCCTTACACACTTTGCTGAATAAAGGCAGAGCTGGAGCAGCCAAAGGTCCTAATTGGCATGGCAGGCATTGGTGAAGCTGCTCCATTCTACAGATTTCCAGATGTTCCCATAATATTTCTCAGATCTTTTGCATTGCTTATCATATTATATTTTGCAACTTTTACAAAAGTAATTAGTTAACGTCTTTATTTTCTGAAGGATATACCAAGAATTTATTTTTTTTTTCATATTTCTTTGCATGTGGTTTATTCCTGAAAACACAAATCAGTCCATTGTCCTTGAGACTGGAAGATCTGGAACCAAAAATACTATCTGAAAGTAAAATATGACTCAGCTGCAAGTTATGTTAATGGTAATTGCCACTTAGTGATCTTTCAGTTGGTAGAAAACAAACCATCAAAATGATAATTGCAGGATTCACTGGGATGGGGGTTGATTAACAAACGAGACAAGCAAGTGGGCAGCAGCCACCGAGCCACAGCTCTGGCTCAAGTGGAGTGGGCAGAGCTAATCTGGAATCACTGGAGCAAAACCCACTTCATTCCCTTTGCCCAAAGAATAAACATATGCCACGTCGGAAATAGAACAGTTGGAAACAATTTCTGCATGGGATACTGATGACAAATAGCTGGGAGAGAGAGAAGGGTGATTACACTTCTTTAAAGGCAGACTTAGGGGTGGGAATGAGGCCAGGCTGGCATTAATGGGATCATTAATGATGATAAGGGTGACCTGCAGGTGCACCAGGTCACAGCTCTCTTCACTGTTTATTTATGAAATAAATTCATGTGTGTTTTAAATGGGAAAGAGAAGTGTTAAAGTTGCAATGAGCTCTTTAGAACAATTTAGATAATTTAATATGTTTTCCCCTGAAGTTGGGGAAATTCAATGTTTGCAGTTGTTACACAATTCAAGTCTATTTTATTCTTGAGATGTGGGAAATAGTGTGTTTTTATGTGTTGGAAACACAGAATTTCATGTATACAGAAAATGCATTACCCGTAGACAAACTGTGAATTACTTTTAAATCATTTCATTAAAGTACCCTGACTCCCTGTTTGATGGTGTTTATTACAAGGTTTTTTCAATCTCAAATCTTGATTGTCTGTTTCGTTGAAATGTGGACCAACTTCAAAATATCTGAACTAAGTTCAATATTGTGAAAGAACCCAGAGTGGGGGTGAAAAGCTGGAATAATGACTCTTAAAGTAAGCACCCTTGAGCAAATTGTTCCTTTGGTGTGGTTTGGAGGGACCTGTGTGACAACCTATGGCCTCCATCCCATGGCAGGAGCTTCTTTATCTCAGAAGGAAAAAAGTTCTTTGAGATCATTCATGAATTTTGAATGGGCTTCACATTGCAATCAGGAGCTAATTTTCTTTTCCCATTATCTCCTGCCATTCAGTGCTATGAGAACACTTTGTTCTCTACCACAGCCTCACTCAGAGAGAGCTCTGGTCCCTCACAGAAGTAATTAACTGGGAAAGACTTTGGATTTTCATAGAGACCTTCCCCAGGCGTGCAGGGGAACAAATCCCACGCCCAAGGATGGGTTTCATTCCAGCTTCACATTCCTCACTTCTGCCTCCTGGATGCACATTGACAATTCCTGTGACAGAGCAGGATTTAGATTCAGGAAATGCAGCTTCGTGGAACTGCTCATCCCACACTGTATTTGAACACTGTGGGCTGTATTCAGCATTAAAGATTTATCATTGTGTGGAGTCTCTTGGTTTTTAAATGTGAAGGCTTATCTCCTCGTTAATCACAGGGTTTGCCTGATGTCTTGTGTCTTTATTTCACATGGGGCTCTGCTTTCTTTCATTGACTTACAAGTGAAATATTTAAGTTTTATTTTATATTAGTTACAAAATTAAAAAAAAAAAAGGGAACCCCACCACCAACCATTCTAACTGTTGTTTCCCCTTTTTTTGCCAGTTTGCTGTTTTGTGGTTCATAAGAGGTGCCATGAGTTCGTTACCTTCTCCTGTCCTGGGGCTGACAAGGGGCCCGACACTGATGTGAGTACACTGACATTTCACATTTCACTTTGCACAGATTTCTGTTGTTCCACCCACCAGAGTGGGTTAAAAAAAGGCCTCAGTGGGTTCTTCATGACACATAATTGAGTCCAAGTGGGTCTTAACAGTTGTGAAATGAACATTTATGGACAGAAAAATCTATTTTTGGTAAGAAAAGTAAGCTTGAGTGTGTGACCAAGAATAATATCCTCAGAATGTGACAGCCCTGAGGCATTCACCCAGACATGAATCAGCATTTTATTTTCTCTGCTTTATGCTGGATGTATTAGACATTAACAATTCTCAGAAAGGCTGGAACTTTTTCTGAGCTTTCTTTTTATCTATCTTATCTCCAAGTGTATCTTTTGAGCTGTCTCTGGTCCTTGTCTCACTGCACACAAGGATCTGTAGCTCCAGTTAAATGACAATTTCATCTTGAGCCAGCTGGCTTATTGGGTTTTTATTTTATTTTCATGTTTGAGCTAGTCTAGCAGTCTGGATACTCCCCTTCCATCCTGCTCTGTCAGTACTTCTGTAGCATTTTTGGTCCACAACCAGTTTTTCCTCTCAGCACATCTGCCTGTGTGGTGAGACACATGTGCAGGATCTTTGTGTCACCCCGCTGAAATAATAAACTGATCTCGTTTGTTCACATAAAAATAACATTTCTTTGGGTTTTATAAATCCCACTTTACAGTGAAGTAATTTAACATCTGCTTATGGGAACAATACATTCCAAGTGTTCTTTGTCTGAATGGCTCTGTTTTGTTTCTTACCACATATTCATGCTCTAGATTGTAGGCTATTATCTCCTCTGATAAAATGCACCAGAAGAATTTTCCTGCTAGGTTTTAATGAGCTTCTCATGAATTGTTTCAATATGCCAGCCAGGAGGTCAGTGAACAATATATGGGCAGAAGCCACAAGGGGTCTTGGAAAATTTCAGATATTAAAAAGTTCTCTCATTTTTAAATTTAAATATGGGGAAATGTTGAAGAACTGAGAAGAATTTTTAAAACTTAGATTTTTAAACATTTGAGTTAATTTATATTTAGGTGCAGAAGAAAAGTGCTGAAGTTAGGAGTGTAATTGCTCTGTTCAGTATCTTTTGTTTAGCTGATACAGACTTTAGTAATAAAACACTTATTAGGCAAGAGCAAGAAACCAAAATTATTCTTCATACCTTTGCATTTTTGAAAGTTCCTGAATTCTTTAAGCTTTGCAGTGAGGCATTTGGCTCTGTACATGTTGTATTACAGCTCAAGCAGGCTCTTGGAATTTGGGAGTTGTGTGTTTGAAGTGCCTTGAGCTCCAGAGAGGTGAAGCCCAGCTCAGCCCTGCATGGGTGATGTTCTCGTCCCTGATTTGTCTGGAGGTTGTTGATGGCAAAACCCCTGCTGGACCCAAAATTTCAGCAAAAGTCTGAACAATTAAAGGATATCTGCTGAATTCCTCATTCTCTGAACACAGTTCAAGCAATGATTTGTAGGTATGAGCTATATACCTACATTTTCTAATCAGAAAATGATTTCTGATTTACTTTGGTCACTCCTAAAACCACAAGGAGGATAACCCAAATCTGGTTTTAGCTTGGTGCTCAGTTGTGCTGCAGGATATTGATGGAAGTTCCTCTTGATTGAGAGTTTTAGTGGTGGCATTCATGAGCAGCTCTGTTGTGTCCATAATGAATGTTTGGCTCTTGAAAGTGTTCCTGATTATTTACTTTTTTTTTGTAAAATGGCTCTTTGGGATGGTTCACCTGAAGCTGAGGAATGAGAACACACATTTGTGTGTGAGACCATTTAATTTTACTGAGAATCTTTTCGTGGTGACAGAATCTGTGGCAGGTTGTTAATGGTCTTTCATATTGCTGACTGCATTTTGTGATTTGGGTTTTTTGCCTCGGTGATTAAATAAATCAGCCTAATGCCTCCTTTCTGTATTTGGGTTACCAAATGATCATTTTCAATATTTACACAGCAGCAATAGCTCAAAAACAGTTTGAAGATTAAAAGCAATCGGAAAATAAATATGTTTTATTAGAATTGTGCTACATTAGTGGGTACTATTACACAAAGAGGATTGTAGAATATTATACTTTAATTTACTGAAATGTTTGACTATAATTTCAACCCTTTTACAATTCAGCACCTTATTCCTATCCCGATTGTTACACAAGCTTTGTTCTGAAATGAAGTGTGCTGCAAAGCTTATCATAACATTTAGCAGATTTTTAAATATTAAAACATCCTTTTCTAAATTACTTTGTGCAGGTGCACAATTAATTTGTGTACTCAAATGCTCCAGTGCAACCTTTCCATTAATTGTAAGAGTAATACTGTCATTAATAAAATTAATTTTCCAGAGCAATAATTACAATAATTATAATCATTATATACTAATAATTGTTGTGTGTCAGAATAATATTAAATTATGCTGCCCTGTATTTATATATTTTACGTTTGTATATTTTATATACATTGTACATTTTATATTACATTTTAATATAAATGAATCAGTCCTTGCAAAACAATGCCTTAATAAAGGTGAGTGTAAAAGAGGAAAGCTTAAAATGAGTCTCTTCTTGTTTTCCTCGTAATTGTTGAAATGTGAGGTTAAAATGTCTGTGTTTGTGCCAAAAGGAAAATGATACTTGGGAATAAAGTGCTCATCCCTGAGTGGCAGTGCAGGGATGGTGTCTGGGGCACAATGTCCTCTTGCAGTGAAACAAGAAGTCACACGATCAAAAAAAAAAATGGAATATTTCCTTATGACTTGGCAGGGTGTGAGCTCTGGTATCTTAGCAAAAAGCAGCTCAGGAAGTTGTTTTCCTGCTGGCTAACAGCTCTCTGGAGCTCAAACAGAAATTACTCATTTCTCTTCATGGCCACCTCTCCATGGTGATGCTGTTGAGTAGAATTGAACAGCTCCTGCTGCTGGTGCCCTCCAGAGTCACAGGAAGCATCATCTCCACTTCAGGTGCTTGGTAATGTTCTTAAAACTATTTGAAGTCATAGATGAAATACTTAAAACTTGGATAAATTAGTGTAAAAATGTACAAGCAGCCTCCAAAATGAAGTGCTTTATTAAAATGTGTTCAATATTAAGAGATAATGGGTCAGTTTCTTGAAAATTGAGTTAAATATTTGTTTTCTTTGTTAATGGAATTCAGTGACCAGAAGATGTCTTTGTTATATATTAAAATGTTCCTAATTGCATGCTGCATATAATTTAAAACCCTCAAGCATTAATTTAAATTGTTCTAGTGTATTATGTTTAATTTAAATTGTTCCAGTGTATTATGTTTTTCAGTACAAGTCTGTAAGACTTTGAGTGCACAAGAAAGAAGTCACAGATTGTGGCCTCTGGATCAGCACTATTTCCCTTTCAGATTATAACAGAGAATCCAGGAGAGGATTATGAGCAAAATAAATAGAAATTAAAAAGTGATAATTTAAATGAGAGTGAGTGAACTGTGACAGGATGTGAAATCTGACTGAACTTGGTGAGTTTTTAGTCTTTAAGCACCTAGGAGAGAATGGATGGGAAGATCCAGATGTGTCCTTACGTAAAATCAAACAGCAGAACCCTCTCGTCACTGCAGGGTAGCTGAACCCAGGGATGTCAAAGGTGACATATTTCAATTTCCAAGTTATTATCCTCTTGATACTGAAATTATTTGGGAGCTTTATTATCTTAAGCACATTGGAAAGCTCAGTGTGAGTGTCCACAGCTGTGAGGTTCTGTGGGATGCTGCAGGAGTTGGCTGTTTTCATCAGTGGGTTGGATATTGGGATAATGCAGTTCTAGAGTACAATATTTCAGATAATTTTTTTCCTGTGTGCTAAGACAGAATTTATTAAAACAAAACAAAAGAAATCACCTGCAATAGGAATAAAAAATAGAAAAAGCAAAACTAAATAATAAATGGTATATGATCATGAAGACAGTGCTTCAGAAGAAGCTGAAGCAGGACTTTGAGTGGGTCATAATCTCACTGCTGGCCACCCCTGACACAAAGGCAGAGACACAGCAGAAATTCTTACTCAGATTTTCAGGGAGATGTTTTATGTTGAATTCTGCAGCTCTTCGTTTGGAATTTGGGAAAGAACTAAAGTGTTAAAGGGCTTCCAAGCACCATCTTTGAATATTTTTTTTGTCTCTTAAACTGTGATCAGGTCTCTCGAGGGCAGCTTGTGGCAAGGGACAAATAACTCTGTAACAGTGCAAGTTTTTGGCTGTGCTGATTGGGAACTGCTGCAAGGGGCTGCCAAAAGAAAAAAATAAAGAAATTTTTCATGGGGTTCCCTTCTCTCCACAGTGCTGTGGATATTCCCTGAGTCCTCCGTGGGGAGATGGGACATGAGCCCTGTCATGCTCCACTGGGATTTTCATTTTATGCTTTCTGTGATTCTAGAGCTGGGAGGAAAAAGATTGACCCTTAAAAATTCATGTGCTGGGGGACCAGTGGGAAAGTTTAATTGAGAAGTGCTGATGTTCAGAGTGGCAGCAGTGGGTTGGGTTTGCCCCGAGGCTCAGGGAGTGCTGATGTCCACATTTGCTGCACTATTACACTGCTCGTTTGATGGCTGGGGCTCTGAGAGAAATGATTTGAAGAATCACCTCTGTACTAAGCCAGAATAAATTAATATAACTGGTCTGCCCTGGAGGGTTTAGGTGTCCTGACTAGATTTCTTTTTCTGTTCAGTTCCAGGAAATCCTGAAATATTTTTCTTTCCTTTTTCCATTTTATTTCCCCCACTGGCATTTAATCATGTTTCTAGATCATATTTACATGTAGGAAACTGGTTTCAGAGTGGAAAAAAAGAGTTGCTTGACTGGCCTAGGGAATTAAAAATACCAAACCAAACTCATGAGAAGAAAAGGCAGTAACTGAAAGCAGAGTATTAAGATTTACTGTAGAACTAGTTAAAAAGGGATTTTAATCAGAAAGCTTTGCAGTTTTTCTCCAAGGATAATGAAATGCAGCAGCAGGGCTTGTCTGATTTGCTTTTAATTCTGTAGTAGTTTTTTATAATGGAAAACAACTGTTATAAATGTTGGACATCTTTGAGACTGGAGCAGCAACAAACATAATTTGATAAAACATTATAGAATCTTAGAATCACTTCGATTGGGAAGGATCTTCAAGATCATCAAGTCCAGTCATATGTCACTGAGGGTTAGGGGGCAGGTTTTATTGTTAATCTGAATTTTATGTAATAGGAAATCTTGTCCCAGAAATACTTTCTTTTTAATTAAGATGAAAACCTTCCTGCTTCATCACAAAAGATACACAAATGCAGGTAGACCTGGAAGAAACAGTTCACTGTTTACCAGATTAACAAAAGTGTTCTATTTAAATGAAGCCTGTAGGAATTTTAGGAAGTGATTCTTAAACAGCTCTGATGCAATTTTTCATTGCATACCCTAAAAATAAAAAGCCCCTCTATTTACAGATTAAGGAAACAACTCAATGTGTTTGGTTTCTAATTGTGATAATTATTAGACATTATTAGATTCAGGCAGTAGGTAATATTCCTAATAAAAAAGCATTACAATGCAAACATACTTTTGTCAAAATAATTGCTATATTATCCCTGCCTTTTCCCCAAAAGCATGTCCTAGATAACAAAATCAGTATGATCACAGTCTACCCAGTAAGTGATACTGAAGGAGCTAAAAATTTTTGTTCTTTTTGCTATTTATGATAAGTACTTTAAAACAAATTGTACAGAACAGCAAGATAATTTTTCTTATGAAAATAAGCATTTGCTTTCTTGTGGTTACCCTGACTTTTAAATCTCTGAAGAATATCCAAAGTGGCTGATGGAGAAATAAAGGTTTTGTGCCTATGGTTTTGACTTCAAAGTCCTAAAATTTAATCAAGGGAGAGAGTTGCTTGGTTTCCTGATGTTTTAATTGTTTTTTTTTTTCCAATGATGCTATGTGACAGTGGCTCATTACAAAGTGTGGTTACACTGACAATGAAATTCTCATTTGAACAGAATCAGTGCAGAGGTAAGATTCTTTATAATGGAAGGCAGAGAAATTAAAGAAGGAAACCTGCCCAAAAGGGCTCTGTGTATACTGAGAATATATTGAGCTCATTTTCCTCCAGCCCTGGGAGGAGTTTCTGGTCACAGGTTCATGGAATTTCCCATCCCTGCAGATGCTCTCCTAAATGCCTTCTCTTAAGTAGCTGCAAGCGGCTGCCCAGGTTACATGAAAGCAGTTCTTGTGCTGGAATGTGTTTGAATTAATCATCCCCCGAGAAAACATGGGTATCTTCTATTCCTAAATTAAAGCACAGGCTCCTTTTATTGCAACTGAAATGGCTTTTTGCTACAGTGAACAATCCTCAGCAAAACCAGAATTCAATTACAAAGGAACAGGTTCATGAACTTTTATAACTGCTGGTAATTCCCACCTTTTCCCTGTAACCCAAACTGGCTCCGTGTCCATCTGCATGGAGGAATTTTCCAGTGGTGTTGAAAGGAGCTGTGTGAATCCTCTCCTTGAACACCCCATGGGAAGGAAATCCGTGGTGGGTGGCTGCCTGCTCAGTGTGTGACTCCAGAGGAACATCTGCTCACATCTCCCACTGCAGCACTTCAGGCTCTCAGCTCCTGGAGTTTGTGCCTGAGACGCTGGGAGTGCAGTTTAGAGTTTTTTCCTACAGCCTCTGAGATTTGAAAATTCATAGCTTTTTATTTATAAAGAATATATTTTTTTATTTTCCCAATCCAGAACAGTGCAAGGGCTGAATAGCTGTATCATAAAACTTAGACTTTATATTCTTCTTTCTAGCTATTTCCTGTGCAATGTATAATATAACATAGGTGATGCTGCTTAAGAGTTAATCACTGAACAGAGCTCTGCTGAGACAGTTAGGAAATGTATATAAGTGATGAACCTAAAAATATCCCTGATTTTCACAAGTTAGCACTGCAGAACAATTAGGCAGTGGGACTATAAAAGGAGAGCTCTCAGCTGAGTTGTTCCCATTAGTAAAAAGAAATCTTTTAGATAGGATGCAGTTTTGGTGGCAGCAACTCCTTGGTGCTGATTCTCACCATTTTCTAACTCCCCAAATTGAAGTTGGCATGATTCCAACAGCACTTATTTTCCAATTGTTCAGAGTATATTGAGTTTTGTGCAGTTTGGGTTGATTTTCATTATTTCCTAGTTATCTTCTAGTTTCCCCTCGGCAAAAGTCTGTCATGTCAATCTTTAAACTCTGTGCAAAATGTGCTGATATTTGGGTTTGGGAAGGAAGAATGCCTAAGAATTACTAATAATCTGTTTTGTTTCATGAGATATCATGTGTAAAATGCACCATAGACATTTCTATCAG